ACGTCACTTTTCGATCCTTCATTTGCATACAAAACTATCCAATCACTGAATATCACTTTTCGATCCTTCATTTGCATAACTATCTACAGTATCCCCCTGCTGGCCCAGGGTGAGAACTTCAGTACATAACACTGCCCATAAACAGGAAGTAAGTCCTATTGAATTCTGAGAAGGTATGCATAAGGTTGAATTGCAAGACAGATCAACAGCAAAAAGAAATAGTAAAATCTAAAGCACAAGTAAACGAAAGGGCAAGGGAAAAAAGAAGAAGAATTCCTTCTCCTTCTCCTTCCCCTTCTCCTTCCCCTTCCCCTTCCCCTTCCTTCCATCGGCTTCTCCCATACCACTTTTACTTAGTTGCTCGGCTACAAGTTCCTTCAATCATTTTGTCAAGAAAAATCTCAGCACTTTATATATGAAACACTTTTGAAGAGGGCTTATCAAGAGGCATTTAGATTCTCTTCCATCTCTACAAAATGTCATTTCTGGTTAATCATTTTTTTAACTGGCAAAGAACACTGTCTTCTTCAAAGCAGCTAACCTCGTGGCTTCAATAAACCATCACTCAGACCTTTAAATCCTGGCTGTAATCATTAATGTAGGCTCAGGTGGTGAAATGTGTTTTCTGGTGAAAGATTTATGTCTCATCTGAAATAGAAGATCTGAAAATGAAGAATCCGATTTGGCAGGGCCGACCAGGGACATTTTGCCACAGAGGCAAAATGCCCCTCTTCCTTCTCCCTGCCACCTCCTCCTTTGCTGTGGGCATGTCCTCAGTGGTGGTGTGGGGGTGGTGAGGTGCCTGTGCTGCAGTGTGTAACAGTGGCATGGTATACTCACAGAGGAGGAGATGGTGGGGCCCACACAGAAGCAGCAGAGGGGTGCCCACAACTGCAGTAGAGGCATGAGCAATCAGCACACTCCTCAGGCTCAGATCAGCCGCCTGAGGTCACCACCTCACATCCCTTCATGGGCCTCGTGATTTAGGTCCTAGGATAAGCTAATGCAGGAACCAGTCCTCTACCTCAAGTGGTCCACTGTTTCCTGAGATTCTTGTATGCCCAAACTTTACCTGAATAGTTAAAAGAACATTAAATTTGCTGCCACCAACAAATTCACACGTGCAGCTATTAATAGCCAAGTCATCATAGCTATATGCTCCCTCCAGGATCAGACGGAGCATGCCTCTGGATACCATTTGCTTGAGATCAACAGTTGGATAGGGTAATGGTGCTCATGCGCCGCTTACAGGGCTTCCCATGGATCTGGTTGGTCACCTTAGAAAACCAGCTGCTGGTCTAAGGTGAGCCTTTGGTTTGATCCAGCAGGGGACTTCATAAAGCACACTGAGATTCCATGTGATATGTTCCTATTTTATATGTTCATTAATATTCCACATGATATATTCGCCAGTATGAGTCAGTACTTACTGACTTCAGGGATCGTTAGCTATTCAGGAAACACAGTGAAACTGTATCTAGAGCAATACAATTTTTTTGCTCAAAAGTTTTCAAAGAAAACAGGTTTTGGAGGACTTGAAATTTGCCCTTTTGTTCCTTTCCTTTCTTCATTCCTCCTTACACAAGAACCCCTGGTTGAATGCTCACAATATCTCTACTTCCCACTCCCAGCCAAGGAAGACAGGACAAGGAAGAAGATACAAACATCTCCATTTACTAGATGATGGGATCATGTAGCCTGCCTGGTGGCTCCTTCTTTCCCCACTTCCTTCCCTCAGAAGTCTCACAGTCTTGAGAGAAAGAGGAGAGTTGAAAGTGTGAGTTAGGTAGGTCCACCTGTCAGGGAAGGCCCACCTTTTAAATACACATTGTGTTGAATTTCTCCTTTATCTCTAATAGACATCCAAATCAGCTGCCTTAGGTGTCCACCTTACTTTACCTAATGGTAAAGCCTATCCTGACAGTGAGACTGCATAAGTATGCATTGGGCTACACTGTTAAAGTGTGTTTTTCAAAACTGTATGCTTTCAAGCTTTTCTGACATGCATTTTTCTAAGGCCATTATTGATTTTTGAAATGTATTTCCTATGCACATAAGCAACATTTTATCTTGTTAACTGCATAGCACTAAAACATTGCCAGTGTCTGAGAGGTGCATGTCACTCAGGGAAGATGCCTGTCTATTCTATTTTAGAAAACATGTCCCCATTAAGGAATGATATTACAAAATAAATAGAAGGTAGCTATGGTTGTTTACTGTTGACTTGCTGAGTAGAGAGGCTATTTACGGTTAATGATTTTAGGTTGCTGCTTATTGAATTGATTGATATAAAATGCTTAGGCAGCTTTATAAGATAATAATGAAAATAAATTCATCCAGCTGAAGAAGGTAAATGCTAAATTTTATTTGTGGGGGAGGGGGCTTTTAACCCAGATCTCTCCCAAAATTTAAATGAAATACATAGATTCCTGGAGTAGGCAAAGTATAGAAGTAACATGAGACATGGATTATTAGGAAAGCTAGGAATGAATCCCCATGACGGGGTGAGCTCCTGTTGTTCGGTTCCAGCTCCTGCCAACCTAGCAGTTTGAAAGCATGCAGTGCAAATATATAAATAGGTACCACTCCGGCAGGAAAGTAAATGGTATTTCCGTGCGCTGCTCTGGTTTCGCCAGAAGCGGCTTAGTCATGCTGGCCACGTGGCCCAGAAAAACTGTCTGCGGAAGCAGACAAATGCCAGCTCCCTCGGCCTTTAAAGCAAGATGAGCACTGCAACCCCAGAGTCGTTTGCGACTGGACTTAATTGTCAGGGATCCCTTTACCTTTTTACCAGGCAAAAAGAGTCATCTGAAACCAAATTGTATAGTACACCTCATGATGAGAGAGGATTTAAAATCAAAATGTAAAGTCCCTCTTCAAGTGCTGAAAAACCGTCTTCCTCTAGTTGTAGATTAACAACCAGATTTCATTTTCTTTAAGGCAGATAAAAAAACCAAAGAAAACTCTCTTCCTTTTGTATGCTCTTTCCTATAACTTTGCCCCCACTTCCTCTTTGGAGCTGACTGAGCTTCTCCTTCTCCATTCCGAGGCAGGCACAGAGGAGAGGAGGAGGTCCAACAAGTTACCACATATACAACCACAGTTCCAAAATCCACAGTTGAACAATACCATTTGGGGGAACAACCCAGATGCCACAATGGTCTGGAGAAGTCTTCATCAGGCAACGTATTACACAAAGCAGGAGGAAAGACACACACGACTCACATTATAATCATGAGGTCAGCTTGCAGACTCAGTTCCAAGATGGCGACTGCAAGTGTTTCACTTTATCAGAGATGGGGAGAAACCATTGCTTCTTTATTCCAGGTGGAGAACTTCAGGTTAGGGGTCAAATGCAGCCCTCAGTGTCTCTTTACCTGTTCCTTGGGAGCCTCCCTAGTCCCCACTAAATATCAGCCCTGCCTCGTATACTCCTTGACTGTTTTTCCCTGCCTGGAATGTCTGCTTGAATTGTGATCATGCCTCTTGTTTTCCTGGATGTAGAGATGTGTGCATAGAAACCTTTGCCTTTTGCATCACTTGACGCCCCATGATCCCAACAATCTGCACTATCAAATTAAAACCAAAGTTTGCTTAGGAATGCTGCCTCTTGAATTTCATTTTGCCTTCTTTCTCTGGATTATTTGACTGACCCTCTTGGGTGGGGAGACAGGACATGGGTCTGTTTCCTCAAGATCTGTTTTCCTGAATTATGCCTATTTCACTCATGGTCATTTCCCGATGTGACAATGAAGAAAAAACAGAACGAGGAGGAGGAGGAGACTTTAAGGGCACAACAGCTGGTATTTTTGACTCTCACTCCTCATATACACTCTTCAGATTGAAATATGAAGTCATATTAAGGTGACAAATTCATTACAGAAATAATAAGAAGCAGGATACAGTTAATTAATCTTGTCTTTGAGTCATTGGGCCTCATGGGTTAGGGGAATTAAAATTGAAGCAAGCCAATAATTAACGAAGAAACATCTTTTGGGTACATGCTCTTTTGAAGTTTTAAAAGAGTCAATATATTGACACTTGTACTTCATTTTAGAATAGATGATATTTAGAAATGCACTGGTCTGTGAAATACTTAATGCTCCTATGCCAAATGCAATTGCCAGTGGAGTCTGTCAATCTTTAGATTTACTTTTGCTTACTCCTTCCTCTTCCAAGTATATTTAAATGCAGCTGGCATCCTAAGCAACAGATTTGCTGTTTTGCTTGCACTGCTGATATGAAACAAATGATCTCAAGAGGAGCTTGTGCAGCACAAAATATCGTTCACCAAAAATCAACCATTATCTTAACTTATTTGTCTGTTCTCAAGTGTCACAAAAATAAACCAAGAGCTCTTACTAATATTTGTGTGAGCTTGGTCGTGCTGATGCCATTTTTTTAAAAAAATCAGCCGTTGTTCAGTAAGAAAAAAAAATTGTTTGTCAAAACCAGCATGAATTGGCAAACAGCAGCACTTATTTTCCTGTGAATATCTTGAAAGCATCTCTTTGTAGACAAGATTTCCATTCCTTTGTTTACTACTTGGTGGGAAGTAGATACACATTTTCAGAAAGAAGCACTTACCTTATAAAATACCATTTCAGATTTCTTCCCCCCAATTAGGAAATTGTTGGATATGCTAATTGACTAATGAGAGCTTTTGCCTTCACCTGCATCAATCTGGAAATTCGTTGTATGGTCTTGATCCTGAGAAAGAACAAAGCTTTCACTTTGTTCACTACTAACTTTCCTTGTTCATTTCCAAGGGGACTTAGCACAATTAAACTTTCTCCAGATAAGGCCTCATAAGTTTTAAGAGCTGCAAAATGTTTGATATAGATGCAATCAGTTCTGCATCCTGTCTTGATAATAATGAAAAGCAAAGATTATATCTCTGCAAGCCCTTTCCTGTTTGAAATGAGTTACAATTTTTATATTTGGTTGGGAGTACAAGTTTAAGGAAAACATAATCACTTCTTTCCATAGATTCAGTGAGAGCCAGTGTGGTGTAGTGGTTAGAGTGTCAGACTAGGACCTCGGAGCCCAGGGTTCAAATCCCTACTCAGCCAGGTAGCTAAGATGCAAATAATGGCAATAAAGTAAAATGATTGGTGAACAGCAGATTCAGGTTTTCCTATCTAAAACCATCAGGCTCCCTCCATCAGACAGAAATTCCATAGAAATGTAGGTGCAGACCAGAGAGAACAACAATGTTTCAGGGATGAGTCAGGCAGCCTCATGCCACAGCAATTGTTCTCTGACAGGTAATACATTCAGGATGCCACCTAAAGATAATCCTTTGATGGTGCTCCTTTCCTGCAGGCAAGACAGCATGACTCACCATGAAGCCACTTGGCATAGTCATTGTCCTTGATAGGTAAAGCCATTGAGGAGGGCCATCCGCAAGGTAAACCTTCTGGATGAGTCGTCCTTGTTTGTTTATATGCCCCAATCCATCTATTTCCAGAACCTCACCCTTCAGCTGATTGACAGGTGGGTGGGTAAAAGTTGTCCCACAGGGTGCGGGTGGGGGGAAAGCTCCATGCCTCTATATTGGAAATAGCTGCTGTGTACAAACATTCCAAAAAAGAGCAAAATACTTTAGGCTATTGAGTTATTATGTCAGTCCATCTGATGCTCTGAAAATGCACCAAGTGTTGCGGAGCAACCCTAGGTGGCTCTCCTCTAGCTGGGTCAGTTCTAGCTGGAACAACCTCCCATCCACCTGCTTTCCATGGGTATAAGGCTTCATGGGTATAAGACTTCATGTGAACCCCCCTACACCTAGACTTGATTTCTGGCTGGGTGAACATTGATCCAAAGGCTTTGTTGAAAAGGTATCTATTTCCACCCCTTGCTCTCCCTTTGCTCTACGAAGTCTTTGTTTTGGGAAAGGCTCTGTAAATTCTTGGGTTGCTATTGTGGCATCACATTAAACGGACATGATCACTGAACTCAAAGTGCATTCCAGCTTGCGGTGGCGTGAACAGAAATCCTGTAAGTAAATTGTCAGTTGGTGCTTTAGTTTCAGACCTGTCACCTTGACTTTGAAGAGGTCTGCTCACAATTCTGGTGAATAATTCAGCACTCTGCTGTAATTTAATTGTGAGAAGAAGCCAAGATTATCATTACTGTTGGCTTTATGACACCCTGTGAAATCCCACAGCTACACATATTTTTTTTTAAAACCCTGAATTTTCAGCTCTTTTCTGCATGAAAAGAATGGATTTTCAGTTGGCTGGGATGGGGAGAGGAGAGAGCGAGTGATCAAACATTTACCACACAGGAAGAAGCTGACAAGAAACAGAACGTGAAACTGAAGGCAGCGTGTTAGGATTTTAGATTCACAACTAAGACGAACAAACCTGAAAAGTGTGTGGGAGGTGCAGAAGATGTAGCATGTAATGAAAGTTGTGTTGAAATTGCCTTTTCAGTGTTTGGAAGCTCAGCAGTTCAGCTGTCGGGGCCTATTTTTCTTCAGACAAGGTAAATAAACAGCAACTCAAATGTACTGCTGTTTGTTTTTGAGATAAACAAATATAAACTGAATTATCTCATTTTGTCACTGCGGGTGCTTTCAGACTGTTGTTATATTTGGGTGGCCTTGAATCACATACCAGCACATTCAGGTTTACACGATTAAAGGTGATTTGGAGCTCTTGTGCAACAAACCCACTTCCCCAAAAGACCAGACTTCTTTGTTAAAAAAAGAAGAAGTAGAGATGGGAAAATGCAGTGAAAAGTGCAGAAACACCTTTGCTTTGATGAAAGGTCTATCCATATAGACTGAATATTGATGTGGGTTTTAATCTGTTTTTAGTTCATTGCTGATTTTGATTCTTTTGATTTTTACTGATTGTTTTTTTTTTGTAAACCGCTTTGAGGTTGGGTGTTTTGTTGTTTTGAAGAATCAAGTGATGTATAAATTTTAAGAAAAAAATAAATGTCATTTAGACTCCCCACTAACAAATCAGCATGAATGCTCATTAAGTAGCCAGCTGTTGAAAACAAATCAAGATGAATGCTCAGAAATGCTCATTTTCAGAGTTGAGACATTACTGTTATAGGCAATATGGGGTTGAGGGGAAAGAGAAGTGGGAGGGGGGAGGAAAGGGGGAGACAGTAACATTTCACTCTTTTATGTAATATACGAGCAAAGCTTTTGTGTCAGCATCACGTAAACAGGTACTTTATTTTTGCTGGCAGTGTGAGAGTCCTGAGGGTCCAAGGTGTGGTTGATTGCAGACAGTTGGTTGCTGTGTGTTTTGTTTGTGTGTGCCAGGGGTGTGTGTTGCTGGGACCTGCCTGACTTTGACTTCTCTTGCATTCTAATCCTGTTTCCTTCCTTTGAGTGGATACTGTCTTTGCCTGTCCATCCCCTGCTCTTGTTCCAGACTGCTACCTGACCTGTTTTCTCCGGAGTCCACTGGGCTCATATGTGCCATGTCTGGACAGATGGGGGAATGGGGTATCTGCTCAGCCAACCCCAGGAGTACAGATGGCTACATTTCTAAGGAACCGCAGATAAAGAAATGAAGCCGATAGTGCTGTGAACTTCAAAGGGAAGGATGATCAAAATTAAAATAATGGAGAAGTTTTGCCAAGAAAGATCAATTCACAAAAGCACTTCCATAAGATAAGGGCACATTATTAAGACAACTCATTATATCCAAGAATGTTTTTTCAATAATACAATGGAGGCAGGGAACTATTAATGATTGAAGAAAAAATAAATAGTGAAAGTAGAAATAAGTGTGTAACTGCTTTGCCAGTGTAACGGATATTTTTAAAATAATATATCATATACAAATGCTACCAAAAAAGAAACTTTTAAATAGTGTACTTTAAAATATTCTTCCTGTAAGCAATGAATTGAAGATAATATCAATATTCCAAACAGACTGTTGTATTTAATTTGCAGTTAAAAACAAAAAAGGTATTTCCAATATAATAAAAAAAGGTAGGAGCAAAATGTGCTAATCTTGACCCTTGAACATATGTATTGTTTGTAAATAAGTATTACTAATGTATATATTGTCTCTTTTTTGTCTTCTGTTAGCTGTTTCCAAGGCTACAAATCATTATAGTAGCATTTTGCTGAGACAAACATAAAACAATCAGATACAGTATTTAATTCTCCTGGTCTCGCACTGCCTGTCCTACAAGAAAGGGCAGCACAAGACTCAGAAAATATTAGCATAGATAAATGAGCCATAAGAAGACATGTAACTATATATAATAGTTAGCAAAACAAATTCTTTGTGGTTTTAAGGATTTACTGGCCTCTTCCATAACATGTAAATTGCGTACTGAGTTGACTCATAATTAGGTATACCTCAACGGTGTTAAATATAAACCATGGCTGAAACTCTTTACATGCCTATATGGGTATAGGTCCCACTAAATCACGGGATTTACTTCTGAGTATACATGCACAGGATTGTGCTTAGCTGCATTTTTACACTAGTTCATGTTACATCCAGATGTGGTGGGTCATTCTTAGGTAAAGGCAAAGGGACGCCTGACCATTAGGTCCAGTCGTGACCGACTCTGGGGTTGTGGCGCTCATCTCGCTTTACTGGCCGAGGGAGCCAGCGTTTGTCCACAGACAGCTTCCGGGACATGTGGCCAGCATGACTAAGCTGCTTCTGGCAAACCAGAGCAGCACACGGAAATGCCGTTTACCTTCCCACTGGAAGTATTTATCTACTTGCACTTTGTGCTTTCGAACTGCTAGGTTGGCAGAAGCTGGGACCGAACAATGGGAGCTCACCCTGTCACGGGGATTCGAACCGCCGACCTTTGGATCGGCAAGTCCTAGGCTCTGTGGTTTAATCCACAGCGCCACCCGCGTCCCTATGGGTCATTCTTAGGAGGCTTCAAATATTGCAATAATTGCTTTTTTGAAAGGGTGCATGAGTGAATCTGCATTTCTGATCTTTCCACCATATATGTAGCACGCAGCAGGTGATTCCTTTAAAGGAAAGGACTTTTCCTCTTTCCGAATGACCAGTAGCCAGATGTGTTGCCAGTATAGTGACAGTAACTGAGGTTGAACTACAACCTTGTTTACAGGCCTTTCATTGGCTGGAAACCAGGGATGGGGAACCCATGGCTCTTTGGGTGATATTGGACTCTGACTCCCATCAGCCCCAGTTAGTATAGCCAATGGTAAAAAATGAAGGAAGTGGTAGTCTAGCAATATCTGGAGGGCCACAGGTTTCCAGTCCCTGCTGCAAAGGATACTTTTGTTGGTATTATAGAATCATACAGAGCTAGAGGTAGACGGAAACCAAAGAGCCATCTAGTCTAACCTCCTGCAATGAAGGAATCACAGCTAAAAAACATCCCTGACAGATGTCCATCCAACCTCTGTTTAAACCCCTGTTAAACCTTTCAAAGAGGTTATTTGTACCATCCCCTTTGCCACCTTCTTGCCATCAGGACTGTGCCATTGGCTCTGAATGAAAAATGCATTGTTCCTAGTTTTGTGGAACAGTGGTCTTCAGAAAACAGACACACATAATGAGAATCAGAAACCCATATGGATAGATGATTTAGAAAATTGTGGGGAAATCTGTGAAACTGAAGATCTCCTTGACAACAAGAGGATCTTGAGACAGGGTATGGTGAGCTGTAATATTGACATGACAAAGTCAGCTCAACATGGCAACTTGGCATGTGAAATAATGTCACACAAATATCACAATACGATATTGCATGATGACACAAAGCCCTATTTTCTTATGATTCATAAAAAGATTACCCTTCAGTTTACTTCTCTGTAAGGCACCAAAACTTGTATCAGCAAATTTGAGGAGTTAGATGCACCTTACCACAACTCCCTTGAGCAAGCAATGGCAGCAATGTCAGTCTGACATAGATTGCCCTTTCAAATAATTCCTTCCCCAAGCTCCCACAAGGCATCATCTTTAAATTAAAGTTCTGCTAGGTTCTCTCTAACCTCTTGCTCTTTTAACAGGATATAAAATCACCTTGCTAGGTTTAAAACCTCTTAAATAGGGCACTGAAGTGAATAGAACTAAAGCTGCAATTATATGGATACTTACCTG